GAGGGGAAGGATCGTTTTCCAAATGGGTGCCTAAGACTTTAGTGCACAGCATACTTCGCGATAGCCCACATCGACGAAGGGTTTTTTCTTTGGGAACCCTAATCGGAGCCTTTGACTTAAGGCAGTGGGGCGTAAATCGAACGCGGGAGCGTGAACGAAGCACCCGTGTGGGAGCTTCTGGAGACCTGTCACGCAAGGCCTGACTGCAAACGAATGACGTCTGCAGTCAAGACGGCTCTTTTGGAGTGCCAACTTCAGCGGGTGCCCTCTGAGATGGACGTTGTGTGATAACACGAACAGAGATTTACATGGATGGTTGGGTTGTTGGAAAATCCGATAGACTAAGATCATATCACCTCTGATTTGACGATAATGGGATGAGAAGAGGCAACGAAATAGCACCACATGATCCTAAAGGTCATTTCGTTGGTCGCTCAGTTGGTGCGCTCATACGCGCGTCCATGCGCTACCGCAGCATCAATTACTTAATGGACTGCCTTGCATTCTAACCTCGACTCTAAAGGAACCAGTATGTGCCGTTCTGTAACAGTCACCCCTGTCCAGTGTTGATTGACTGTCAACCACGCGAACTATCCAGAGAACATCCCACTGCTATCTGCATTGCGATCCACGCACACATACACATGCACGGATCGGAGTGAGACTGTATGCATTTACACTTGAGCACCAGAGCTTAGTTCAAATTATACAGAAGTGTACGCTAATAATAAGTAATTCTTAACTCCTGATTGTGTCTGTAGTGGTAAAACTGATAATTCGATTTGGGCTGTTTGAGGATCTGACCATTTGGTGTATAAACTTCCTGATGTAGCTGTATATACGACGAGGAAAAAAACTACTTGCAGTAAAGAGACAAAATAAAATAACTGTTTCCACCCTCACGGGAACTCGTTTACCCTTAGCATGAAATCCGTTGTAACGAGACGCTGCGTAGGCTGGAAAACACTGTCAAACTATTTAACCGTAGAAATTCACTTCTCCCACCTATCTGGAACCCGAAATCTCACAAGTAGAAATCTAACGCACTATCCACTCAATCATCAGGCAGGTAGTGAGAGTATTTCACGCTTTCTGTTCATGGCACGAAATATTCCATATTTCCAGTCCTGTTGCGATCAATTGCTATGGAATATCTTGACTTTTAATATCACCTTTGTCTTCTGTTTCTAACGAATTTCTTTTTATAATTAAGTCACTTCACCTACCAGGTTATCGGTGTCTTTGAAAACCAGTGACAAAAACATCCACTCGTCCTAGATTGACACAAGCAACCTTCAATGCAGCCAGTTGATCGTGGCGCTAGGTCAGGGTAGTGTGATTATCACTTAAAAGTAACAACGGATTCTCGCGATGTTCTTTCTCGTTCTTCCTCTTGACGAAAGTGTTTTGCTTTATTGCTCAGTTCTTTAAGTGCCTTCCCTATCGTGATGATATTCAATTCAGCGTCAACTCCCACGCGTTTCATTTGTAAACAGGATCGTCGGTGGCTTCGTGTTGTCTCTTCAGATGTCTCCCACCCAAGCTGC